ATGTAATAATATAATTTAATGCATCAGAGACTTTGATGGATTATGTTATAAGTAGTTATAAGTACATAGCGAAGTTTTGAATAAAAGCAATCAATCAGAACATTGCTACAACTATTCTGCAAAATTCATAGGAAAATATTTAAATTTTTGTGCAACAATAATATGAAGTTCCATTGAGTTTTTGAGCTAAAATCTTTCTAAAAATATTTTTATTAAGAAAAATATAATTTGTTTGCCGAGCTCTGTAAATTACATTCCGCATTTGTTTCCCTCCACTAATTTCTTTATTGCTCTGTAATAACCCTACAAACACCCGTTTATATATACACGTTTATATAGCTATAGCTACTTCATATGTCAAAATAATGCACGTTTATCCCTTACCTTTTTTTCTATTTTCTCCACTTTTTTCCTACGCTTCAATTTAGGCCGACACGTTCGCTTTAGTCACTGACGCCTTAAGCCGTTTTGCCAGCTCCATTATTTTCTCATCAGTTTTCTTACATCATCCGTTTACTATTTGTTATTCTTATTTTTATTGTTCACTACAGATGTTGCATTAATTGATGAGCTTACCCTAAATGGACATCACGTGTCGCTGACATCTCGAGCTGGCCATGTTCATGCCAAATAAATAAATGAGGGCAAATCAGAAAAACCGAGAAAGGAAAGCCCACAAATCTGTTTATTTGGATGTGAGTAGGTACTTTTTATGTGCAGCAGTGAAATTGGGCAGCCAATGTGATTTTTCGTGTAATTTATATATAAATTTATAAATATATTTTTAATAGCATGTATATATATAATAGACAGTAGTTGGTGGGTCTATAGAAAGTATTGAATTTTTCCACTTACAGATTTCTGTATTGTTCTGCACTTAGCTACTCTAATGGAAAGATAATATATGGAACATAAATTTTAAAAAAAAATTTTTAAGGTTTTTTTAGAATGAATTGATCTCAATCTAATTTACTTGCATAATTCATCAGAAAATCACATTATTATTGGCAGCAAAATTACTAGCTTTTTGAGTTTATTTTACTTAAGATAGACAGTCATTCAGAGTTCAACTCATCACGTCATGCTGACATTTATATATTTATTACTCCATATCTATCTCGAATAGGTTTAGGTGATACAAACAACTGTTAATTGAACAAAACTATTATACTCTTTTCAAATAATGTATACTTCCGAGTATTATAATTAAAAATAAACTGAAAATCAAAAGTAAATATCGCCCTTTATCTATGTAATTAATATTACAGACAACTTAGCTTAAATTTATTCAAATTTTTGCAAGGAACTCCTTGATTTGAAGAATATTTTTCATAACTTTAATGCCAAATAAATACAAATTAGTAACTAATTACTTAAATTGGGGGACACTTTTTGCTTTTGTCACTTGCCGATTGAAAACTCTTTTATAACAAAATCTCTTACAAATTCGCAAAATTTTGATTTCTTGCGAAGTCATTTGTGAAATGGCTGAATTTTTACAGTGAAATTTTGAGCAAAATTATTTTAATCAAATTAAGCGATAAAAGAGATGACAACAATGCAAACAAAGAAAGCAGACCCTAGGCAATAAAGCGAGCAAGAAAGGTACGGAAGAAAGGAAACAAGATTTTCAAAAAGTGACGCAGCACAAAAGCCATAGCTGAAGACCGGAAAAATTAGCATACCGAAAAGTTTAGGAAAGAATGCTTTACACACTCGCTAACTCACTCCACAAAATAGACTCTTATAGACCCACTAAGAAGAAGAAGCACCAGAAAGAGTTATAAAAGCGTGAGGAGAAATATAGAGTGACTTAAGAAATCACTGGCATAACTGAACGGAAGCAGCGAAGAAGAAACAACGCGCACACAATGGAGATGTGAAGCAAAGCAAAATACGCCAGGATAAGGCAAAGCACAAAGAGTAAGTTAAGTAATCAAATCTGTGCAAGGCAGACAAGCAAATAAGTCAGCAACAAAGTAAACATGTAATTCGGCAAATACTTTTAACGCAAAAATAAATGCAGTAGAGCGGGGAGTGTAGGAAACATGAAGTAAAAGCGGCTCATGCTGGTAGGCGATTGTGCGAAATTTGTTACGCAAATTTTTACAGGATTAATATTTGCTGAAGCTGTGAGGTAAATGTAAACAAAGTTTATCGATGTTTACGAAAATCATAATAAAGCGCCTACACGCGAGTGCGGGGTGGGCAGAACAATATGCTTGCTTGAATTTGCATTGTGATTTCGAGCGACAAAAATCGACAGAAAACGCCAAAAGCTGAATAAAGCGGTCGGATGCAGTCATCGAGCTGTGGTGCTGGTGGTTTTTGATGGCGCCACAGTCACTCGCAGCGACGATGCGTGGGTATGAGTAAATTTATTACATATATGAAAGTGTGCGCCCACAGTGGGACAAATTGCAACATTTATAAATAAATTTTAGAAATTTTATTAACATTAGCATTTGATACAGAAATTCCGAATATTAATATGTTTAAAAATTTTCAAGAGTTTAAGGAGCGGTATGTGAAAATTTTTATTATACCCTGATCAAGGTATATTAAGGACCTGAGTCGATTTAGCTATGTCCATCTGTCTGTATATAAACGAACAAGTGCTTAAGTTTTTATCTTCCGAAGAAATTGTTCAGATCGGATATCTATAACATATAGCGGTCATATAAAATGACCGATCGAACTAAAGTACTTGTATAAAATACTTGTTTATTTGACGTAATATCTTTACGAAATTTGGCAGAAGTTATTTTCTCGGGCAACAATGTATTCTTCGAAGAAATTGCTTAGATCGGATTATTATAGCATATATGTAGCTGTCATACAAACAGAACGATCGGAATTAAGTGTATGGAAAAGTTTTTTATTAGCAAAGTATCCTCACGAAATTTGGCAATTGTTATTATGGAATACATTGCTACAATCTCTAAACATATTGTTCAGATCGGATCACTTTATCTTATAGCTCCCATATAAACTGACCGGTTAAAATCAAGATACGGAACTATTTAGACCCCTTTTTGCTATAAAAAATACACCTGTGAAGGGTACAATTGCTTCGGTGCCGTCGAATCAATTTTAATTAATTAATTTTATTTTATTAAAAAATAGTAATTTTTTACAGAACCGTTATTTCTGCTTGTTTACCAAATGTTATTAAATTATAATTATAGAATTTGACTTTAAAAAATAGTGCTTGAAATCATGAGTTTCTCCAACAAAATTTTGGTGTAGGGAAAGCGGTTCCCATTTTGAACAAAATTACACCGAATTGGAACCGAAAAATATTCTACAAATTGGAGAACTGTCACACATTTTAAGAAGGTAAACTCAGGTAATAACCGGAATGCAATTTTTTAACCGACACTGTTTTCGCGAAATTCCCGAATGCTTTAAAAAATTGTATTCAAAAGCTATAACATAATTTCTTGTATATATGTTTTGATCCTCTACTTCTCTAGTGACAGTTTTACCCGCATATAAATTAAAAATTTTTCCGGTTTCGTATACTCGACTATCGTGGCATCGGGTCGTACAAATGTTCTATCAATCAATTCGCCTAACAAAGTGAATTTTTGATAATAGTTCATAGGTAGAAAATATGTCGAGGAACAAATATCGTACCGCCTGGGAATAGTTCTATCAGCGAATAAGAGCATGAAAAGAGAAACTCTACAAAAAATCGACTATAACAAAAATTTAAGCTATAGAGAAAATAATTGATTACCAAACTATTTCAATTAAAGCCTGACTTTGTGTTAAACTTGACTTTTCATTTATAGAACTGCATTCAGTATTATTTAATCTTACTAAAGTTTTAGTGCTGGAAACATAGTTAGCAGTAAAGCACACAATTTATTGTTATTGTTGTTGTAACGGCACAAAATTTTCTTCAAACAATATTTTTAAGGAACTCTAGATCCATTTGCCGTACTAAAATTAGTCTCCATTTAAGTTAGGTTGAACTAATTATCGAGGGAACGATCTGAAAGTTAAAAATTGTAGACCTTAATGAAAAAACATTGCACCCAAAAACAAATCTGTAGTAGACCTTAAACATGTATGGTTATTGTGCTCATTCAACACGACGATTTGGTTCATTGTGTTTCTATCCACAGTGGGATCTAATGAAAATTCATATAACAAACCACATATGTATATAAATGCGATGCATAGCGGCGACGGTTGGCGCAGCGCAAAAATATGTTTATTAATTCTATGCATAACTGCAAAGCTCAAAAAAGAAGACACGAGTGCGACATTGTTAAAAATGCTTCGCTACATTTATTATTTTATCTTAGAAATCTAATTTTGCTTAAATAGATACATTGTTGAGATATCATAATCTGAAGATATAAGACCATAAAACATGATTTAAACCCAAAACAATAATTTTTGAAATACTCAAAACCGTGTTATGCTGTTTTTCCTCATAAGCATAGGAATTATCTCTACAACAGCATTCCTAATTATCTCTTTGGAAATATTATTAATATTGCAACCACAATAATTATATTTTTTGTTTGCTTCAATAGTATTTCCGTCATTCTTTTAAGTAAGTAATTGTATTCTCCTCTTTTCCTCTTCTCACGAAGTCAAAACATTTAGAAAAAGCAAATATCTTTAATTAGAAACAAACAGCAGTAAGCTTTTATACCGATAACCACTGTGCGTACACAATTGCAGAAATGCGGTTTTCTCCGTTGGCGGTCGATCGCTGATAAAGAGGCTTTAGAGTGGCCTTTTGAATAAGCCTAACAATGAGGCAATTGTTTACATGTACAACCACGCAAATGTGCGATAGTGTGTGGGCACACATATGCATACAATTTACAATTACACAAAAAGCCAACACATACAGCTTAATAAATATTATGTATGTATATATGTATGTATAAGTGTATGTAAAACAACAAAACTATACACGCAAACACACACCGAAACAGCTAACACCAACAACTAGCAACCAACACATTTAGACTTACGGAGAGTGCCAGAGTCAATGTGGCTAGGCTCGCGCTGACGATGACTAGGACGACGCAATACCGTTAGCGATGACGTGCACTTTAGACTGAGGTCGGGGTCGCTGAGGCGCCGATTCGACCGTGGGCTTAAGTTAGCACACAGCCAACTGAGACAGCAGCAAGATAGTTGAAATGGAGGAGTTAGGGATAATGACGATGAAGTCGATGGTAGGCCGGTGGATTAGTGGGTCGCCGCTTTGTATAAACCGGTGCGCTGGCGATGAAGGTTATACACACAAGTGTGTTGTTTTTGTCAACTACTTAATGCAACTACAACTACAACTATAAACGCATACAAGCAACCGTGTGTGTGTGTGTATGTGTGTGAGCGCTGATTGTGACGGGCAGAGAAAAGGTTTCAAGGGTGTGGGCCTGCACAATGTTCGCTGCTGATGACGAAATTCCTTTACCATTTCCTTTTTTCGCTCACTTTTGTTGTATGCTTTTGTTTTGCAGCAATTTGTTCTTTACTTTTTGTTTATTTTTTGTTATTTTTCGTATTTTTCCTTGCGCTTCTTCAGACGTTGTGATTGCGTGAATGCTTTATGCCAACAATTCTGACAATACACTTGGCGCCTCAGCGGCTTTAGCGACGGCGGCGGCGGCTACACCCTATTTACCGTTAGCAGCACTACCCTCATAGTTTGCTCTAGTATCTGAAATTGCGAATGTGTCTGCTTGCTATCTGCTTTATATTGCGCTTCAATGTGTTAGAGGAAACTATTATAGTGTCGCGGCAAATTGCTGTTATTAGTCGTTGTTGTTGTTGGCGTTATGATGACGTCGTCGTCGTCGTAGTGGGGGAAGGGGTCGCGGCGGTCACAACGTGTGGCACGTTTTATGGAGACACGAGTGTGTTTATGTGTGTGCGTTGCGCGTGAATTCTACAAACTATTTTATTGGCTAACAGGGAATACAGCTTACAACTATACAAACAATTTTTTTTAAATGCTAATAATTTTCAAAACTATTTTCGCTACTTATTACTCAAATATTGGTGCTTCGACTTGCTTTAGATATGCATTTAGTGCTGCTTACTACTTAAAAATTTCTAGCAGAAGACTTTTTTATCGTTGTGCTGGTGAGGTGTAGTTGGTAACGCGCTTGCGTTTTTTGGTGTTTTTGTTATTATTGCTAATTAAGTTTTGCTCACAAAATGCTAGTTTCGCTTGCTTTCCAGCTATTTTCGTCAAAAATTTCACACACTACAATAAAATTTAGCTACCTTTTCGTCTGGTTGCGCCGACAATAAGTTTCACAGGCCACTGCCAGCACTAGAGCAACTCCAAAATATCGACGTTTCTTGCCTCTTTTGTCGCTGCACACACTTTTTCCCTTTTTTTTCGTTCTAATGACCTTTTATGCAATGTTCGCGTATTTTAAAGCAAATTTTATTAGAATTGTTTTACTTCGAATATATATATTTTTTTTTTTTGCTTATTTCTTTTATTGAAGTCGGCTTTTAGCTTATGTATAAAAATTTTCACAGTTACTCTTCACACTGCCACTGGCACTTTGTTGTAAACACATTTATTTATCACTCTGTACTTTGCTGCTGAACTGCTGTTTCCTTTGCATTTTCCACGCTGCGCCAAAAACAAGAAATTCAATGTGCTGTCAAAATGAAATCACAGTGTGTTGGCAGAGAGCGATAGAGTAGAAATGCGGCAAAATGAGTGTGAGAGAGAACATGAAATTAGAAGGCAGAGAGCCGTACTGTACAAGTAGAGGACAAAGGACAAAGGCGGACATCAGGTGAAGCAATGAGCAAACAAACAAACTTGAAAAGATGGCGCAATAAGTCAGACCCTGCTGGAAATTGATCAGGAAAATTATAAAGAAAGATTGCAGCTAAGTTATATGATACCTATATACGATATCTCTATATATGTTAGTAAAGGTTCGAGTCAGAAGCTTTTACACGAATGCTTTTAAACCATTAAAGTGGTTTTTTTAACAAAGCTTTTTATTAATATACGTCCCGAAAAGCACAATAAATTTTATTTTCGGCAAAGTTGCTTAAGATTGCTCAGAAAAGCATATCCTCCAACAATTCTGTTAGCTCATCGATTTCCGATCAATGCAGCAGTTTCATGCGTTGAGAATTTAAAACTTAAAAAATAAATTCTTTTAACTTTGGTCATTAATTGTCTGCAATAGTTTTTTTATTTTTGTAAGAAATAGAGATTTCCTCAGTCATATGCTAAGACATTTGCAATTTAATATCCAAACGTAAGCTTTTTTTATGGTAAATTTTTTAACGGTTCCTTAAGAGAGATGCCAGAGTTGTCATTTGATGTACCTATTTTGGTTCCCAAGCAAAAAAACAAAAAAATAAACTAGTAAAAGTCAGAGCTTTATAGAACAAAGAGCTGGAAAAGTCTACCAGAGAGACATCAGCCAACTCTTGAATACAAATTTTCGAAGAAGTTTCGTTAATCATAGAAATCCATAAAATATTTAACAAATCTGATTTTTAGAATTTTCAAATCCAGGATTCCAGCTCAGTTCAGAGCAACCACGAGTGAGCGTAACGAGAGAGCGAGATCACGTCAACCAATGTATTCAATTTAGCAAACTTTATTTCTACTGGGCACTTTGTTACGTTTTGAGTTTGTTAAAAGCGCCTGCCAGCTGAGGTCCTCGTTCTCTCGACGCTCACTGCTTACTTGCTGTCGCATGCATAACAAATTGACCATCATTTACTACCCACACATTTCAACCTAAAAGCACATATACTCCGATATGTGACGTCTGTCAATAACCTCTGCTAGTATAAATGGCGCACACAGTTGCTGTTGTTGGGCGTTTGGGTGTTAGTGGGAGCGTGTTTTCGGCATTATTTTATTTTTACTTATGTCATTGGCTGTCTCTCGACGCAGCCAATTGTCAAACTTCAATTTTGACAGTTAGAGAGTGGACTATAATAAAACTGTAAACATATCCTTTTGCCGAAAGCTTAACGAAAAGCTTCCGAAAGCTTTTGCTGCAGTGAAACAAAATAAATAAATAAGCGTACTGACAGACGGTAGTGAGTGAAATTGTGAGGTTAGGTATTTGTTGATTGTGTTGTTTGAAAATAGTAACATTTTATAAAAATGCAATGTATATTTTTAGACGTTTTTTGATGTTTTGAGAATATTTTCCTACGATAGCGGTAAACTTGGTAGTGGAGTATAGTAATAGCCACTAAACAAGCAGATTAGTGTAAATTACGACAGTTCAAAGCATATATTTAGGCGCATATAAATGAAAATTCATAACCATTATATGAATGGCGAAAGAAATTTTTTCTGCAATTACATATTACTTCCGCTGCCGGTAATTACCTGTACAAATTCGCTTATGCGTTGATTTGACTGTGTCTGTGGATATATACACACATATATGTATATATATGCAGGCAGATATGAAATTATATATTTACACTAAATATAAGCCATATAAATGTGCCACAACTCGGAACAAAGCATGCATATGTGTTCGAACACACGTAGATGAGATATAACTGCTCAGCACACGGCGTACTGCAGATAACTCAATTCATTGATTTTTTACCTTTATACTTATTTTGTGCACAATTTTTTACCGACGTTTTAATTCACGCTTATTTTAACAACATTTAGTGAGACGACCGCATTACTTGTATAAGAACAACACCAAATACACATGAGCGCTTACTTAATACACATACACACACATATGAATATATATGTACACGTAGTACTAACACAACCTTCTTCGGCTTATTAGAATTAAACTTCCTTAATATAATTTTACGATTATTATTATTATTGCTAAAATTTTTGGTGTTTTCGATATGCTGATATTTTTCATTCGCTTGGCGAAATTCACTGCCTCTGCGAAAATGTCAAAAATTAAGTGATTTCCTTTGCTTGCTCATACACTCGCTCGCTTTTTCGCGTTTGCATTCATATTCGTTGTAATTTAGATTTGTATCGCCGTTTATGTGTGTGTTGTGCAGCTTACACACACACACACACACTTTTTAATTTCTTTCCTTTCCTTTTAGCTTCTAGCACATCGCTCACATCTCTTCGCGTATATTCTCATGCCTCTCACTCTTCACTTCACCTGCTGTTTTACTCTCCTTGTGCTTTTGACTCTGATTTCATTTTTCACATTATTCGTATTCATTTTTGTTGTTTGATTTTTACCGCTTTCATGGGTGAGTGGTTGTTTTGGTGTGCCATAACGCCGCCGTATTTGCCACCCCATCGCCTCCCACCATGCTTTGTGAGCACTCTACACCGTTGTTTTGGCTCGTAAAGTAGCTGCAGCCTTATGTGTTAGCATATTTCGTGTTTTACTTTGTTCCTCCTTCCCAGTTATTACTTCCTTTTCTACTTCATTTTATTCATCTTGCTATCTTTCCCACGTTTTAGATGTCAAATAGCGCCACCTGCTTCTTGTAAGTCCTTATTGCCAGATTTTGGTTGTCGATTGTTTGAGCGCATGTGTTTGGTTGTGTTGTCGATGTATTTTCCAGGAAGGAACAATTTTGACTTAAATCAATTATCTTCCTAACCTTTATTTGCTGAAATATGTATGTGTACATTAATCGTTTTTATGGAATATTTGTGGAACCTCCATTATTTGCTTCGGTAATTCCTCACAAATTTTTTAATTAATTAAATAGATTTTTGGAAAGAAAAGTTTGCTCTTATGATCTGCTGTTTAAGTGCTGCTGTTGCTGTTATTAAAATGTAGATGAACAATAGTTCTTACAGTAGCTGTGTAGCAGCAGTGCAGGAGACAGGGAGAAAGTCCCAAGGTTGTGCCGATCATTTGCCTACTCGTATAACGCATTCCGGGCCGTTCTCACTATTTTTTCCGTCCTTGAGAGAGAGTTGTGCTCATGTATCGAAGGGAACCTCCATGGAAATGCGTTTTCTACGGAATTAATCTCAGACCCTCTTACCATGTCCAATTCTGGACTGTGTTGAGACTGTCATAACGGCTAATGGGGTTTATACACCTTCCTGTTATTAATATGGCAATATCGTCTGCATATGCCACTATTTTTGGAGATTTTCCGTCTAAGTTCCTTAATAGTTTATTCACCACTAATGTCCATAGGAGCGGAGATAGCACTCCATAGGAGCGGAGACAGCACTCCACCCTGCGGAGTGCCTCTATAAACTTCCTCACCAGAATAATTTGCTAAGTCAGTTATTCAGCCCACAAAAGTTCGCATGTTATGGTTATGAAAAGCAGATCCAACGAGATTTACGCTCCAGTAGTTTAACATAAATTACATACGAGTATAACAGCTTGCGATTCTACAAGCTCTAAATTTCAGTAAGTATAAGGATCGTGGAATGATATAAAATTCTCATTCAATAATCATGTCAACTATAGTATATTCTTTCGATATTCCGTTCTCGGAAACAAACGTCGAAATATATCATTTATATTCTCAAATGAAGCATGTGAGATCATACAGGCAACATCTGGTTAAAAGAATTGAGAGAATTATTAGCTATTTTCATAGTCATAAATTAGGTTCTAGTTATTCACTTTGACACCATTATTTTCTCATCTACTAACCCTCTTTTTTTCTTCATTTACGAAGCCATTTTGATCAATAAAGGAAATAATTTTTTAAAGGTTTGAAGACACGCCGATATCTTTTATTTTGTATTTTCATTTATTTCAAGTTCAATTTCTATTTAAGTAAGTTTTCCATTTTTCAAGTTTTTCATAAGAATTTCATTTAACATCGTCCGTTGAGTATATATGTAGAACGGGTTTATTATGCGACTCTCAGCACAAAAGGATTTAAATCACTTCTTCACAAAGTTCGAATTCCATGGTAAGGGAGCTACTTCGAAACGTACATATGTATACACATATTAGAATAATAAATCTTAAGTTAAGAATTTGAAAACTCAAGCAGAAATACAGCGAGTAAAGGGCATGCTTGCTTGGAAATAGCTCATAAAATGACGCAGTAAATAAAATACGCACAAAAAGTTGTCGTAGTCAAATTAATGAATTCATAGTAATAAGAATAAAAGCTATAAAATAGGAATTTTTACTAGGCTAATATAAAAGTCCCAGCATGCATCAGCTAAACAAAATTTCTACACAAACGGTTATACATGCATATATATTATATATACTTATATACATATGTATGGGCATGTGAGTTTTCTTGAAAAATTAACTGCTTACATTACCGTAAGTATTTTTATTAATATTTTATATTTCTAATTCAATGCTTTTAAAAATTTAGCAACCGAATTTGGACACATTAAATTCTGTTGAAATTTGTATCAGCTTCTATGACGCCTATGGGAAATAAGCGAGACAGACAAAAGCAACGCTCGAATGGACACGCTTTTGAAATTCTATATTGCCTGCATTGCACGCTACTTTCTTCGACAAACTGACCGGTTTTTGTGTCAGCCGAAGCTGGCGAAGGCATTCAAGGCACTTCTGGGAATGGCCTAATTCAATTGGATTTGCATGAAAATTCAATTCATGCAAAATTAAAAACGATTATGTGTCCGCATGTGACCACTTTTATGGCTGTCACGATGCGATTTAGGCAAGTACTCACATAACAATAAAAATCTAGCACACTGGGTTCATAAAAAACCATCATACCGCTATCTATTACAAGCTGCATAGCTTATGAGTCTTAATTTTATTTATGCACCATTATATTAGTTTTTAATATCGCTCACTTTTACTTGCATCGACAACGATGGAACTTACTCCTGACACTTTCAAATTTGTTTGCTCGGTTATCCTTTTCCAACAGCCTGTCTCAGCGCTTAATTCGATTTGCATGATTAAAATGTAGCATGTCCATAGTTTAAGCAAAATTTATTAAGAGACGATTGGAAACTAATAAAATCCTTGACAATTTGCAACGACTTAACAAGTACTGGACATCAATTCGTTTAACCCGTTTCGCCGTTCGCCCGTCGGCAACAACAAACAACGCTGAATGTTAACTGCTGGTCTGCTGGTCTGCATCGGCATTACGTGAATTTTTTCTTTGTTTTAGCCACCCCTCTGCACTCTTGCTAGTGCTCAGCTAGTTGGGGTAAAAAACAAAACCAGGCAATATTTTCAAGCTAAATTGCATTTTCTTGTAAAGCTAACAAAGTCTTAGTATGAGAAAAAAAAACACACTAACTCATTGCTGCAACCCAGTAAGCACAGGTATTGAGACTCAGCAATAAAAATAATATATTTATATACAGTTGAGAAATTATTAAACTATTTAATAAATAATAAATGGACGTCGCGCGTCGAATGTCTTTTAGCTGAGTGTCCCATAAGTTAGAGTGGGACGTTGGTTTTTAAACACGCAACGTACAGAATGGTAGTAAAACCTCTCACATTCCAAACGAATGATCGGCATAAAGAGCACTTGCACTATGGATAGTTAATGACTATCATGTTTACCGATTCCCTTTCCTTCATGATGTAAATTTTCAACATTAAGCGCTTTTACTAAGCTGCACAGTAGCCCAATCACCCTTATGATATCTCAAACGAATGGTCGAAACACTATAAGGGAAGTTGCTGAAAATGTCGGTATATCGGTTGGTACAAGTGGACTACTTTGAAGACGACAAAATATAAATTGATAATCAAATAAATATTTTTTGAGAAAAATTATCATCGTATAAGATATAATATATAATCCCGTAATATCCAGTATTTGTTGGAACTAGATGTATACATGTATATAGTCGACCCGCTGTGGAGATATGAATGCTGTCGTCAGACTCACTTACGTTTCATGAAGTAATATTATCTGCTCAGCTTGAATCGGACTGGTCCACTGCGCGCATAACCTTTATCGTTAAAAAATGTTTGCTAGAATGGTAAAACCTTTCGTGTCTAGTTTGATCTCCATATGTTAATTAGTCAAAACATTCAGAGAAGGTTGTTAAGTCACCGAAGACTTGACTCATGCGATTCGTTCATCTAGATCTGTTAATGACCATTCGATATTATCGATGAAAGATAAAGAAACAGTGTTTGAAATTCGTCTTGTTGTTGTCAGAGAGATAGTTGAAGATTTTAATATCTCTTATAGATCAACTCATCACATTTTGATTAATATTTTGGGTAGGAAGCGTGTAAATACTAGACTTGTAAATTTTTGCAAAAACGTCGTCGAGTAGAGGATGATATTTTAGTAAAAATTTTCTACTCAAGCGTTTGGTTTATTATGATTCCTAGTAAAGTTAGAGCAGATCTCAACATCTAAACATTCCCGTACTAGTGTTGGCTGCCAATGGGCAAAGATTGATAAACTTCAACACACACACATTCCATTCCGTAAAAAACAAAAAAAAATAAGTTTACAAAATTTACAAAGCAATACGCATAGCCAACATCTTCGCACTAGCTCTCTTGTGAACCCATACAACCATCCAGGCCCTAGTATCTTTAGCATTTGAGTCCTGCTCGTTTGGTTCGCATATAATCGAATTACAAGACTCCATTAAACGAGCAAGTAAATTGCTTTGTAATCGTTTTACAAAACTCCCGAGACCATTGTCCTATGTCCACGTTGCTTCCGCCAGTTCGTACAATGACGGCACCACACGCCGCTTTGCCAGCACCCAACTTGTCAAAGTGTTCATGTATCTGTCTTATAAGCTGTCCGCCATTACTCCTTTGACGTCGCCTGCTGTTGGACACCAGCTGTGAGATGATGTTGCATTATTGCTCTGAAATTTAGCCACATACATACATATACATGTATAAGTGTAAAAAATATACTGTATTCTATATTCGAGATTTTTATAAAGAGATGGATATAAAATGAATTTAAACTATTTTTCTAATTATTAGTATAATTAATCTTATTGTTTATTTTAAAATTTCAGAAAGTTTGTTTACTCTTAAACTTTGTTAATAGTTTAAATATTTGTAATAAATAATAGT